AGAGAGAGAGCATGAATAGGGGAGGGTCAGAGGAAGAGAGAGACATAGAATCTGAAACAGGCTCCAGGCTCTGAACTGTCAGCACAGAGCCCGACGCGGGGCTCGAACCCACAGACCGCGAGATCATGACCTGAACTGAAGTCGGATGGTTACCGACTGAGCCACCCAGGCACAGATCTTGGAACAGATCTTGACACGTGATGAGTTCTGTATTAGGGGGTTGATATACAGTAATTATTTTTCCTAATCATTCCTTAAGTTTATTTTACATTTTTCTGAGTCCTTGTATTGTCCTGTATTATCCTGTTTGATCCAGTTTTCTCCTTCATAAAGGAGGAAATGGCGGTCCAGAAGAGAAAATGATTTATAAAGCCATACAAGTCCTGAGGTACAGAGCCAATACTCAGACCCTGATTCTGGAGTCTGCATCTCTTGAGTCAGAGTGGCTGCTGCTAATATTAGTAATAATCATAATCATAATCATAGAAAAAAATATATAAAACAGTAGCTTTCCATGATGTCACTCTATTTCCTCAGCTTTAGGGTAGAGGGAATATGAAGACTGGCTGTCTAGAGGTGATCGCATCTCCATTTGTACAGGAGAATCATGTGGCATCTTCCATATATGTGTTTGTACAAAGCTCTCTTAGGAGGTGGAGGCAGACTTAAAATGGATAATGTGGTGTTTGTTTTTGTTTTCGTTTTTTTCCTAACGGGCTTTTTTATTCCCCTTTCTTCACTTTGCTGTCTATTTTATTTGCATTATTTTTCTTTAAAAGTCCCTGCTTTTTTCTTAGTTTTAGGCCACTAGATGTTCCATCATCTTGGAGACCAGACCCTCTGTGTGGTGAAACAGAAGTCTCCTGTATCCTAGCCTCTGAGATGAGGCCGCTCTCCGTGTGAGGTTTGGGGCGGCCCAGAGCTGACCTTGTCCATTCCCTTGCTTGAACCCCCTCATTATTTTTCCTGTGCTCTCAGGATAAGGACCACAATCTGCATAATGTGGCTTTTGATTCCTTTATACTCTTTCTCATGCCGCTTTGCCTCTCACTCTGGGATTCAGCCATACTGCCTAGCTTTAAATTCCTCCCAGGCCCATGGACCCTGACCACAGGCCTTTACATCCGCTGTTCTCTATTCCCAAAGTAGATAGTAGATGGAAGGCTTGTGACTTTCCATAAACTGTCTCTTGCTAGGTCTTCTGTGATTTATGTGGTATTGTGATACTAGAGGGTGGTTAAGTTTTACCATATGCAGTCACATTTTCTATTTCAACAGACTAGACAAGTTTGCTAATTTTTCCTCTTGTTGAGAGAAAAAGATTGGCAAGGGCAAGAGGAACATGAATACTAAATTCTTTTTTTTTTTTTTTTAATTTTATTTACTTTCAGAGAGAGAGAGAGAGAGAGCAGGCACAGGCCAGGGGAGGGGGAGAGGGAGAGAGAGAATCCCAAGCAGGCTCTGTGCTCTCAGTGCAATGCCTGAAGCAGGGCTTGATCCCACGACTGTGAGATCAAGACCTGAGTTGATACCTAAGAACCAGATGCTTAACTGACGGAACCAACCCGGTGCCCCAAGGAACCTGAAATTCTTATGTGGAAAAAAGAAAAGAAATCAGGGATAGAAACCCCTCTGTTTTTAGGCAATAAGAGAGCACTATGCGATGAAACTGTTAGATTCCATTTGTACAGTGAGATAATACCCAGCGGTAAAAAGAAACAAACTCTTGATTCGTACAACAGCATAACGTGAATCGCAGAAGAATTGTGCCAAGTCAAAGAAGTCAAAAATAAAAGGGCACATACTGTGTGATTCACTTTATATAAAATTATATAGGGCATGCAAACTAATTTGTATGATGGAAAGCAGATTCAGTTTTTGCCTGAGGGTAGATAGACTAGGTGGAGGGATAGAATTCAAAAACACAAGGAAACTTTTGGGGGTGATGGAAATGTTCATTAGCTTGATTGTGGTGTTGATTTTATGGATGTATACAGATGTTAAAACTCATAAATGGACACATACAGTTGGTTATACATTAGTTATACCTCTATAAAGCTGTTAAAACCCATTTATTGAGCACTTACTCTGTCCTTGGGCCGGTTTGTTCTCTGGGTACACAGGAATCAGTAAAAACTGATAGTCCCTGCTGTCAGGGAGCTTAGAGTCTAATGAGGAGGGAGACATGATTGGGGTCATTGCCCACATCAACGGACAATTCCAGCTATGATCAGTGTTGTGAGGGAGACAAAGTACATGGTGTATGTGAACATGTCTTGGGGATATTTGACCTGGTCCAGGAAGGCTTTCCTGAAAAAATGATGACTGACTCAAGACCATAGAAACTCAGAGTCAGGAGGAGGCCTGCAGGCCATCTTGTGTAACCCTTTTCAAACCTGTAAATTAACTCAGCCTCAAATATTATCAGCAAGAGTTTATCCAGCAGGGGTTGATGCTGTACCATCATGATGTGCTAGAAGTGAACTAAAACTAGAGATATTTCATGTTAAGTATAACATGGTTTACAGATTTTAGATGCATGAAGCTGTTAGCTGAGGGAGAGTTTTGGATCAATATTCCACCTTCGTATGGTCGTGAACACTCAGGCTTGAGAAGATGGAGTGATTGCTCTCGTTGGTGTGATGTATTTGTGGTACCCTGCAGAGGCACAGAGCATAGCCCATGTCCAGGCCTCATCGTGATAGTCTGTGTGCTCCCAACAGGGAGAAGATGAATCTGTCATCCTGAAATCCTGCACACGGCGGAAAACAGACTCTATCGAGAAGAGGTTTTGCTTTGACGTAGAAGCAGTAGACAGGTGAGTAGCTGTCACATTTTGCTCAGGAACAAAAACTATTGAATTTGGATTTTTTACTTTTTCCATTCAGTCAGAGCTTTTCTGTCCTCCAATCCCACCCTCCCCCTCCTTCTCCACCCTGCTGCAAATTGCTGCTCCACCCTGCTGCAATTTGGAGCAGACCTCAGGCCACTTGCTGGTCTGCAAGGATCAGTATAGCTTTCCCGCTTGTAGGTACAGTGCTGAGCCTCTGGTTTGGTTTGCTTTAACATTAGGGGTTTCCTGAGAAGGAATGGGTGTTATTTCTTAAGAGGTTGAGTAGGTGTTTAAAGAAAACTGTTTAGCATGACTATATGAGCTATTTAAGATTTTACTTTAAAACATATTTACTTTTTTTAATTTAAAAAATGGTTCAAGGGGCGCCTGGGTGGCGCAGTCGGTTAAGCGTCCGACTTCAGCCAGGTCACGATCTCGCGGTCCGTGAGTTCGAGCCCCGCGTCGGGCTCTGGGCTGATGGCTCAGAGCCTGGAGCCTGTTTCTGATTCTGTGTCTCCCTCTCTCTCTGCTCCTCCCCCGTTCATGCTCTGTCTCTCTCTGTCCCAAAAATAAATAAACGTTGAAAAAAAAAAATTAAAAAATGGTTCAAAAGGAATTGGGTGAGGTGAAGGGTGGAACAAGTTGTACTCAGCTAAAAAAAAAAACAAAAAACAACAGACAGCTTTCAGCTGTAGCATTTCACCAACCACTGTGTGTATGTGCCTGGGAAAGATGGCAAACCCCTTGTGAAATCACTTTTTGCAGAGGGAGCTGTGCATTGTATTCCTCAATATATATGGAGTCTCATTAAGTTGTACCATTTCATGGTGTTAAGCTAGTTTGACAACATTCCAATTCTTTGAAACACTTTACTTGGCAACAGGTTAATTCTTTGAGTGAAAGCCACGTGCTAAGCTTTTTTGTGCTATCTGTTCAAGATCAGCAGTGCCAGCATTGAAGATCCTTGAATCTCAGCATGAGTCTCCTCTAATGCCATTTAGTTTCTCCCCTTTATTTAAACCCACCCACCCA